ATGATTATGACTTAACGTTACAGCGAAATGATGAAATCAGTCTATTTCTTGAGGTGATGAAGCATATTACAAAAGTAAGCCTCAGAGAAAGGAAATGACAAAGAAAGATTTTCATGCGATTTTGTTATATACCATTGCTTTACTAAGCTGCTGCCCCAAAGCTTCAACTGAAAGATCGAAATGAAGAGTACACAGTTAATAAAAGTAACGTTACATGTTAAGATTCTGTTTGCTTGTACTTTATCAGTGTCATATCAGATTCTATGACAATTTGACAATATGTCAAACTAATACATTGAACTGTAGAATTAACGTTAACGATTACCAGTTATTGTTTTGTTTCCACTTGGAAAGCCAACCACTGATATGTAAGTCTGATTTACTCCAGGACCTGCACACCAGACTGACTGATGTTTTCAGTAATCCTGATGGTAATAAACTTCCATGATTAACAGCACTACATGTGGTTTTCAGATGTTTATTTCCTCTGATTGTGCATCATCAAAAAAACTTTTGACATTAACGTTTCATGTACTTGGACTCTTTCCTCATGTTTTCTCGATCACTCCTTCAAAACAAGGCAAGGTGATGAAGGTAACGTTTGGAGCCACCCAGTGGAGGTCAAGTGAAATGCAGGCAAGGTAGTAGGTGGTATCAGTGTCTAGGTCCAAATTCATGCCCATTGAATAAATTTCGTAATCTAACTGATACAGCCTCAAAACCGGTGTATTCTGTATCTGTATAGCCGGTATAAGGCATACCTTTTGGTACTCTCGGTAGGAACTCGTAAAATGCCTCGGGCACAGGTTGCTGCATGTAGGGTGTGTCTGCCTTCTTCGGTAGCCGATCCGCAATGGTAATGCCGTGTGACAAACAACCAAAGACTATTCTTACGTACATTGTAGGGTTGATTGTCTGGACGGTGCGTTTTTGGACGAAGAGGAAAGACGCAAGTAACAAGTTGCTTTGGGGATTACGAGCGCTGCTTTCTTGAACAGAGAGAAGTAAAATGAGGTCTTCGGGGGATTAGGAGATTTTGCGTTGCTTTCTCGTTCAATAGACGTTCAATAAAAACATGTCTTTGGAAGTTTTTTTGACCTTTTTTTTCGTACCATTTTATGTTACAGCTAGGGAAATGCTTTCTAGCGTCTAACATAATGACATTTTTCTCATTTATCTGAAGTATTGGTGTGATGTGCGTGTGAATATGTGAGAGAGAGAGTCAAATAGACATTCACGTTTCAAGCTAAAAAAACGATGTATTCACTTTAGTTGGATACATACAGTGAAATACAACTTAAGTCGAAGTATGTCATTGGCATCCATGTATATGTGGTTTTACATTTACATTTGTGGTCTGCGTACAACGCCTGCAGTTGATTACTAGAAGTACCTTTTTAAAAAATCCCCAGACATTCCATTGTCAAATCCACTTGTCACAGGCCACACTGATTTATTTTTATAGATGACATCCGCCCGAGCATTGATTTTCGCCTGTTCTAAAAACAAAATCACCTCCGAGGAGGCTCTGGTCTGGGGTATATATCCATCCTCCGTAGTCCATGGTACAATAGGGAGCCGGCGGTATTCCATTCAATTCCTTATTTCCATACATTACAGACATACCAAATAGAAACTATAATGTTGCCTGAATGGCATTGGTGTTTACATCATTTAAAAATTAACACGTAACATTATTACATACAGAAACATACACATACTACTATTTGAACAGTACATCCCAGGTATGACAGCTTTATACAGTCTGGTTGTAGAGTCTGATAGACTGATGTAGGAACGAGTTATGAAGTCTTTTTGTTCTGGCTGGGGGGACGGAGATGGTGTTTTTGTTCCTGAGAGAGCGTCCAGTAGCTTTAGCTCTAGAGATCTAGACAGGGACAAGGTCATGTAGGGGGTGGTCTTCCTGATATTCACATTTTCGTTATAAGACAGATTCACAATTATTGCAGATTGAGTGATAGCCTGGAACTGACCCTACCCAGTATGATATTGACCACTGGTCATTATACAATATATATATGTAGCTGTGGTGCTTGTGTATCAGTATCAGCCTAACACTGGCCCTGCCCTGTCTGATCATGACCACTGGCCATTATACAGTAGTTTTGTACAGAGAGTTTAACTGAGAAACCGTCGGCCTTGTGCCATAAGATAGATTTCTAGCATCCAATGACTCAGTGTTGGGCTGATACTGACCCTTCCCTGTCTGAGTTTGACCACTGGTTAATACAGCAGTTGTGTGAGTTTTGTACAAATAATTTTGTTGGGAAATCCCACCCGGCCTTAGCTTGTGCCATAAGATAGATTTCTAGCATCCAAGAACTTAGCGTTAGTCGGAGGCTGACCCTGTCCTGTATAGTCATCAACACTGGCCATGACATTCCATTAGAGGTTGTCTTTGTTAGAGAAAGGCTACTAAAATTTACAAAAAAGTTACTGGATAAAATGTATTTATGACATATACAGTAGTTTTCTATTCATAAGTACATTAAGGTCTCACCAGTTCTATTATTTTGTAATATCTTTGACTTGATATAATAATAACACTGATCTGGATGATTTATATGAAAACAGAGGAATGAAATGCACCTTGGAGCTCCGGGATTTAGGATGTAAAATGATTCGTCTCTCCCAACCCCAAATGACTACCTTGTTTAGATGTATGTGGCTGTGAAATCTGTATGCTATGTCTACGTTTTTGTACAGAAAATTAAGCTAAAATACATGTATACACACAAGTTCCAGGAACATTTAGGTTTCCGCTAAATTCTGGTAAAAAAAAGTGCAGAGGCAGTTGCAAATGTGACATACGAAAGGCTTTTGGTTTCTTTAAAACATGTTCCGCTAGACCTTCAGGTGTTTGGCTCTTAAAGCGACAAACAGATGAGATCTTTCAAGACTTTCAGCAAATAATCAATGATATTTATCGGTGTCTTTCAATGGTAAATAAACAAATGAATGATCCAGATGACTGAAAAACCCCAGTTTAATAATCTCAAGTTCTGCCTATGATGTTTGAATAGTCTCAAAAACAACTATTTAATTGCTCTTTTGTCGATTATTGATTGTCCAACCTGCCTGTGAAAATTTGAACTTAATTATGGTGCTTAAAAATTTTCCTACATAGAATTTATGATATGTGTTATGGTTTTAGGGTCAGTGAAACTTGCTCCGCCCTGCCTAATGATGATCACCGGCCATTTCTGTAGATGTTGAGTTCTTTGGTGGTGTTTTCACGTACATAGGGTTTGGCTTTAAGGCAGCTAGCACTTCGCTATGTGATTTATAAATTCCCAACCTTCAGAGCTTGAATATTAGCTAGAGACTGATCTTGCCCTGTCTGATCATCACCACTGGCCATTTCTGGAGATGTTGGTAGTGCTTTCACATCTACATAGATACATGTAGGGTTTGGCTGAAAGGCAGCTAGCACTTCATTGTGTGCCAGATCTGTTAGAGATTGAGTGATGGCCTGATACTGACTCTGCCCTGTCTAACCATCACCACTGGCCATTTCAGTAGCTGTTTTGTACATAGAATTTAGCTGTGAGGCAGTCGGCCTTGTGCCATAAGACACATTTCTAGCATCTAAAGGTTCAGTGTTGGCCTGATACTGACTCTGCCCTGTCTAACCATCACCACTGGCCATTTCAGTAGCTGTTTTGTACATAGAATTTAGCTGTGAGGCAGTCGGCCTTGTGCCATAAGACACATTTCTAGCATCTAAAGGTTCAGTGTTGGCCTGATACTGACCCTGCCCTGTCTGATCATCACCACTGGCCATTTCAGTAGCTGTTTTGTACATAGAATTCAGCTGTGCGGCAGTCGGCCTTGTGCCATAAGATACATTTCTAGCATCCAACGATTCAGTGTTGGTCTGAGACTGACCCTGCCCTGTCTTGACACGGGGTTTGTCAGTATCTTCATACTGGTGATCGTTAACACTGGCCATTGCAGTGTCTGTGGTGTTTGTGTTGGATTCAGTGTTTGCCTGAGCCTGACCCTGCCCTGTCTTGACATGATGATTGTCAGTATCTTCATACTGGTGATCGTTAACACTGGCCATTGCAGTGTCTGTGGTGTTTGTGTTGGATTCAGTGTTTGCCTGAGCCTGACCCTGCCCTGTCTTAACACGGGGTTTGTCAGTATCTTCATACTGGTGATCATCAACACTGGCCACTACGGTAGTTGTGGGGTTTGTGTTGGAGTCAGTGTTGGCCCGAGACTGGCCTGTCTTAACACGGGGGTTGTCAATATCTTCATACTGGTGATCGTCAACACTGGCCATGGCATAAACATTTGCGTTACCTTTACCTGCATACATAGGATTTGGCTTTAAGGCAGCTAGCACTTGGTTACGGAATAGATTTCCAACGATATTAGCCTGGCCCTGCCCTGAATTAACACGTGGTGTGTCAATACCTTCATACTGGTGATCACCACCACTGGCCATTACAGAAACTGCTGACTTTGTGTTACGACCACCAACAACATTGGGATTCAACCCTAAAGGAGGATTCCTGGTCTTCCTTTTGTTCCAAATTACAACCAAGAAAATTCCAATCAGAACAGTTCCAGCTACTGGACCACAGATAGAGCCAATGAGAACAGGTATTGAGAAACTGGGAGCAAATTTCTCTGGTTTCCCTGAAGTGATTAGAAGGGGCGAAGTTAGTGTTGCTCTTGTTTTGCCTGCAGGGCATGATGTTGACTCAGGATCAGACAAAGGGGCAGCATTAAACTTAAAGTACCAGTGAAAGTGAGAGTTTGATTTGATTGCATTTTCTGCGGGGTAGGCTGTTGAGCCAGCAGTGGTTTTTGAATTTTCTGCGGGGTTTGCTGTTGAGCCAGCAGTGGTTTTTGAATTTTCTGCGGGGTTTGCTGTTGAGCCAGCAGTGGTTTTTGAATTTTCTGCGGGGTTTGCTGTTGAGCCAGCAGTGGTTTTGAAGACTGATGGGCTAGTATTGCTTTCTGTGCTGCTAACTGAAGGTGTTGACACTGCAGCAGAACAGCTATCAACAGTAAGTGGTGATATGGCTGACTCTTTACATGTCAGTTCTTTAGGATCGACATGTGTAAGCTTCTGTCCCTGAACTTTGCCGGGTTGGGCGCAAGTTATGTGGTTGTTTAATTGGGGAATTCGCCTGATCGGAGCCATCCTACAGTCACACTGCCAGGGGTTCCCGTCAAGTTCTATGGTGATATCAGATGGGAACAAGCAGAAGATTGACAGAGGAATGGCCGACATCTTGTTGCGCGAAATTGTAAAGCGTTTTAATGGGGGCAGATTTTTAAATGCACCAGGATCAGTGGTAGTTATCTGGTTGTTGTTTAGTGTCAAGTGTCTTAAATTGGGCAGATTTGCAAATGCACCAGCAGGGATGGTAGTTATCTGGTTGTTGTGTAGTGTCAATTGTATTAAATTGGGCAGATTTGCAAATGCACCAGAAGGGATGGTAGTTATCTGGTTTTTGTTTAGTGTCAAGTGTCTTAAATTGGGAAGATTTGCAAATGCACCAGCAAGGATGGTAGTTATCTGGTTGTTGTGTAGTGTCAATTGCATTAAATTGGGCAGATTTGCAAATGCACCAGCAAGGATGGTAGTTATCTGGTTGTTGTCTAAGGACAACAATTCTAGGATGGGCAGATTTTTAAATGCACCAGGATCAGTGGTGTTTATCTGGTTGTTGCTTAGTTGCAATTTATTTAGCTTGGGCAGATTTTCAAATGCACCAGCAGGGATGGTAGTTATCTGGTTGTTGTTTAGTTGCAAGTTATTTAGCTTGGGCAGATTTTCAAATGCACCAGCAGGGATGGTAGTTATCTGGTTGTGGTGTAGTGTCAAGTGTCTTAAATTGGGCAGATTTGCAAATGCACCAGCAGGGATGGTAGTTATCTGGTTGTTGTTTAGTTCAAAGTGTCTTAAATTTTCAAATGTACCAGGATGGATGGTAGTTATGCGGTTATAGGACAGCCTCAATTTTTGTAACTTGGACAGATTTGCAAATGTGCCTGCTTCAATCGTTGCTATCTGGTTGTGTACGAGGCACACGGAACGCAAATTTTTAAACCGCAACAGCTCAGACTGCTTTACAGTTTTGATACGGTTATTCCTTAGAGTTAACTCAGAGATGGATGTTGGGATGTTCTGAGGGATGCTGGTGAGGCCCTTGCTGACCCTGCAGGATGGTGACGGTTTACACGTGTAGCAGCCAGCTTCTGTCATGTCGGGCTCCTTCAGGATGATGAGAAGGAAAATCAGGACGTGTCGCAGCTTTCTTCCCATGGTGATCTGACACCTAAAGAATCAGAAAGCTCCTTTGTCAGGCCAAGCCAAACGTACGCCAATAAGCAGTTACTCAAGCAACTGGATATGATTTTGGAAACGGTCAGGCGTTTCAGCTAGTATTTCACTAGCTTTCGTCAGTGACTGGATGTGGATACTAGCTGAAACGTCTGACCGTTTCCAAAATCATATCCAGTTGCTTGAGTAACTGCTTTTTGGCGTATCGTATTACCTGGATGTCAGCACGTGTCGCATCTTTTTTCCAATGGTGATCTGCCACCTAAACAGAACGGCAAGCCTCTCTTGTAATAGGTCATACCCACCTGATGCCCTGGACCTAAAATATGGCAGGCCCCATCATGAGAAATAACGGTGTAAAAAATTGGACGGGGCGCAAGAAAAATTCTTTATTTACAAAAATTTTAGCCGTATTTATTGTAAACTGGCAGACACGTACCTTTTAAGGTAGTCACGATAGCTTCATTTGACACTTTCTTGGTAGGAACTGGAGCAAGGGATAGAATGTTGTTGTTGGAGGGTGTTCTCCTTCGGTAGCGGATCTACAAAAGCATGTGACAAAATTTCGCGGCGATTGTCTGAAAAGTGCTTTCCTAGATGAATTCGAAGAGATAACGAGTGCAGTGCTTTTCGTCTGAGTAGATCTAGAAGTGCGTTTGTTTTCTTGTACGGAAAATGTCATGCTTTTAATTAAAAGAGCTGCTTTTTGGACAAAGAAGTTCGGTGCTTTTGGGGATCAAGATATTTAAGAAAGAGCGCTGCTTTCTTATATGAAGCAATTTTGGGTAGAAACCAGAAAGCTGTATGTTCTCCGTCAGTAGCCTATCGGTAATGCCGTGTGGCAAACAACACAAGATAAAAGTCTTATGTACGTAGTGGAATTAATTGTCTGAATTGTGCTTTTTCGGATGAATTCAAAGAGGTAAAAAGTTCGGTGCCAGTTGGGTGAATAAAAGTGCGTGTCGTTTTTTAACATGGAAATGAAGGGCGCGGCGCTTTTTATGAAGAGGCATTCGGTATTTTGGAGACAAAGAGAAGATTATGACAACTTTAAACTTCTACCTTGATCATGGACTTGAATGATTTTTTTTTTATTTACCCAAGGATTGTGTCTTAACAACAGCACTGCAAAAAAGGCAAAGTAGAAACCCTGGTTTCCCGCTTGAGACTTACTCAGTAGACACTAACCTTGTCAACAAGACGTGAGGTTTCATCTTGTAGACATTCTGAAATTTTAGCTTCCCCGGCCCCAACAATGTCGGATGTCATTTCCAACACAAAATAATATAAGGTTACGTCTTCTCTGTCATTTGTGTCCCGTCCATTGAAAACAATTATATTTAGCATACTTGGTAATATTCTCTCTGAAAGGGAACATGAATGACAAAGTTTCTTCGTTGCTAAGGCGTACGCTGGACCGCTGATTTATGAGTTACGTGGCACGTTCAACTAAGAAGAAAATATAAAATAAAAACAACAAACTAAAACAAACTAGAAAGGCCGACATTTGCTTGAGAGCAAATGCAGTGATGGCTTCACCACATCCCCCATACCGAAAATGGATCTATTCCACGATGGCCGCCAATAGTCTACACCCCCATGCAGAATTAATGGAACCTTCCAATGCCGGAAATAGCCAAAAAGCCCTATTTTACATAATTTTAAAGTGGTGTATGTCAAAATCGTGAATGACATTCTTTGGACATGTGACCAAGGTATCCCCATACCAAATTTCAGGTCATTCGGATTTAATATTAGGGCACAGGAGCCAAAAATGTACATTTTTGGTCCGAAAATAGCCAAAAAGCCTTATTTTTCCCAATTTCTAAGTAGTGTATGTCGAAAGCTTGAATGAAGTTTTGTAGACATGTGTCCAAGGTATCCCCATACCAAATTTCAGGTCATTTGGTTCTAGTACCAGGGCTCCAGATCCCAAAATGTATATTTTTTGCACGAAAATGGCCAAAAAACCCAAATAAAACAATTTTTCAAAAAAAATGAAAAAAATGACGTCAAGGGTATTTGACCCACTCTACCTTCATGCCAAATTTCATGTTATTTGGCCCAGAAATGGCAGAGATGAATCCATTTAAAGAAATGGCAGGAGGAGGAGGAGGAGAAGAAGGAGAAACATGAGAGAACACAATATGTCTTCACCACTTTGTGTGAAGCCATAATGAGCAGATTAAGCAATCCAATCGAAGGACTACCCCTTACAATCCTAAAGCATGCATTCCGTAGCATAGGAATTGCAAATGATCGCACACAAGAGCATAAAATGTGGCACCGACTTTGCAAAACAACATTTATGCTGACAGCTGTCTGCCCTTGCCGGCACTGAAAAAGTGTCACAATTTTGCGCCTTAGCATCTGCTTAGAAAATTATAACTTGATTAAGGCATAGCAAACTGATACAACCGATTTAGCCGATTGTCACTTGGCAGACTCATACCTTTTGGTACTCTCGGTAGGAACTCGTAAAATGCCTCGGGCACAGGTTGCTGCATGTAGGGTGTGTCTGCCTTCTTCGGTAGCCGATCCGCAATGGTAATGCCGTGTGAGAAACAACCAAAGACTATTCTTACGTACATTGTAGGGTTGATTGTCTGGACGGTACGTTTTTGGACGAAGAGGAAAGACGCAAGTAACAAGTTCCTTTGGGGATTACGAGCGCTGCTTTCTTGAACAGAGAGAAGTAAAATGAGGTCTTCGGGGGATTAGGAGATTTTTGCGTTGCTTTCTCGTTCAATAGACGTTCATAAAAACATGTCTTTGGAAGTTTTTTACCTTTTTTCATACCATTTTATGTTACAGCTAGGGAAATGCTTTCTAGCGTCTAACATAATGACATTTTTCTCATTTATCTGAAGTATTGGTGTGATGTGCGTGTGAATATGTGAGAGAGAGTCAAATAGACATTCACGTTTCAAGCTAAAAAAAACGATGTATTCACTTTAGTTGGATACATACAGTGAAATACAACTTAAGTCGAAGTATGTCATTGGCATCCATGTATATGTGGTTTTACATTTACATTTGTGGTCTGCGTACAACGCCTGCAGTTGATTACTAGAAGTACCTTTTTAAAAAATCCCCAGACATTCCATTGTCAAATCCACTTGTCACAGGCCACACTGATTTATTTTTATAGATGACATCCGCCCGAGCATTGATTTTCGCCTGTTCTAAAAACAAAATCACCTCCGAGGAGGCTCTGGTCTGGGGTATATATCCATCCTCCGTAGTCCATGGTACAATAGGGAGCCGGCGGTATTCCATTCAATTCCTTATTTCCATACATTACAGACATACCAAATAGAAACTATAATGTTGCCTGAATGGCATTGGTGTTTACATCATTTAAAAATTAACACGTAACATTATTACATACAGAAACATACACATACTACTATTTGAACAGTACATCCCAGGTATGACAGCTTTATACAGTCTGGTTGTAGAGTCTGATAGACTGATGTAGGAACGAGTTATGAAGTCTTTTTGTTCTGGCTGGGGGGACGGAGATGGTGTTTTTGTTCCTGAGAGAGCGTCCAGTAGCTTTAGCTCTAGAGACAGGGACAAGGCCATGTAGGGGGTGGTCTTCCTGATATTCACATTTTCGTTATAAGACAGATTCACAATTATTGCAGATTGAGTGATAGCCTGGAACTAGGGCTGCGGACCGGTACACTGTACCGGTCCAATACCGTAAAAATCGTTTCGGTACAGGTCCAAAATACCGGATCATGAAGTAACGAGTATATACCGAAATAGCTAGTTTACACCATCTATATGACTAAAGATAGGTAAATCCTACCACAAAGACGAAAAATTAGCACTGGAAAAGACGTAAACACCGTCGATTGATTTGAGATCCTCAGTCTCACGAGACATCGCGAGAGTGTGGCTGATCCAGGGTTGTGATTGGTCAACAAACTCAAATCAGGTCAGAGGTCAGTCATTTTCCCTTCCCTCCAACACTTTATTATTGTTTCTGTGTCATGATTGAAAAAGTGAAGAACACGTGTTAATTTGTCAAATTGTTCAGGTACAGGTACAGGTCCGGACCTGTACCTAAACCTCTGTACCAGTACTTGTACCTGTACCTGATGTTACGTTTAGGTACGCAGCCCTACCTGGAACTGACCCTACCCAGTATGATATTGACCACTGGTCATTATGCAATATACATGTACCTGTGGTTTTGGGTAGAAACCAGAAAGCTGTATGTTCTCCGTCAGTAGCCTATCCGTAATGCCGTGTGGCAAACAACACAAGATAAAAGTCTTATGTACGTAGTGGAATTAATTGTCTGAATTGTGCTTTTTCGGATGAATTCAAAGAGGTAAAAAGTTCGGTGCCAGTTGGGTGAATAAAAGTGCGTGTCGTTTTTTTTAACATGGAAATGAAAGGCGCGGCGCTTTTTTATGAAGAGGCATTCGGTATTTTGGAGACAAAGAGAAGATTATGACAACTTTAAACTTCTACCTTGATCATGGACTTGAATGATTTTTTTTTATTTACCCAAGGATTGTGTCTTAACAACAGCACTGCAAAAAAGGCAAAGTAGAAACCCTGGTTTCCCGCTTGAGACTTACTCAGTAGACACTAACCTTGTCAACAAGACGTGAGGTTTCATCTTGTAGACATTCTGAAATTTTAGCTTCCCCGGCCCCAACAATGTCGGATGTCATTTCCAACACAAAATAATATAAGGCCAAGGTTACGTCTTCTCTGTCATTTGTGTCCCGTCCATTGAAAACAATTATATTTAGCATACTTAGTAATATTCTCTCTGAAAGGGAACATGAATGACAAAGTTTCTTCGTTGCTAAGGCGTACGCTGAACCGCTGATTTATGAGTTACGTGACCACATAACATCACGTTCAACTAAGAAGAAAATATAAAATAAAAACAAGAAATTACAAAAAATGAGCAGATTAAGCAATCCAATCGAAGGACTACCCCTTACAATCCTAAA